TAATTTACAGTCACTACTTTAAAATATTCTACTTATTATTCAATATTGTTTCTTTATTAAATGTATTTATTTTTCCATCACACCTTCCAATGTTTATATGGCGTGCACACATATTAACCTTGCAAGGTCAAAGTTCTGTTTTATGTTATATTAATACATCTTTCTTTGTTTGAGTTACCTGGGGTTTGGTCTCCTCCTGTGTGGCAAAGGGCTGGTAGACCTGAAGTACCACTGACAGCCTAATTGGATTGCACCACATGCTTTATTGCCTGGGGGGTGTTTCATGTTTGTTTAATTGTTTTGTATTAGTTGGTTATATGGCAGCCATTTTGTTTTCCCCCGTGTGTGTCATTTGGTTTAGCTAAACCAGTATTTAAGTTCCCCCGTGTGTCATTTCAGCAGGTCAGTTTATCATATGTTTGTTTGAGGTTTTGTTAACTATTATCTTGAGTTTAGTCTATTGAGTTGACCTCTTTTATTGGTCTGTCTGTTTAAGTTTTGGCTTTGTTAAATATATTTTCATATTTTTGGGTCAATAAAACCCCTTTTTTTTTTTAATTAAAACCACCTGTGTCCTTTATGCTTTATTGCTTGGTCCCTGACAAGGCCCCATGTATTAAACTGGAAAATTTATTAAAATTCCGCAAGAATTTAGGTTTGTCTTCATACAGTTTTCTCGTCAATGAACAGGAAATGTAAATTATTGAATAGCCTATTAAATATCAGACTTTGTTATCAACACAAAAAGAAAATTTGTGTTTGGTCAATTATTTATTTGCTGTAACAATGCTTCTTTGTAATAAATTTATTTCCTCTTAAATGATGCCACAGTTGTTGGAAAATGCATTTGTGGCTTCAGCTGCAGAGTTGAAAGATAAAAAAAACTTGCAAAATATTTTCTGCCAGTGCCACAACAGACTGATGTGTTCGATTATTCTCTCAAACATAAGGATTGTGAAAAGTATTTGGAGTTTATACACTTTGTATATAAGGCGACCGTTTCCTTTTGCAGTATTTTTGTGTGTTGCATTTTTAACAAAAGGGGAACAAAGCCCAACATCAGTAACCCTACAAATGTCACTTCTGTTTAGTTTTCTGTCTTCATTTATGTCGGAAGTGATAGCAGAGCTGTACGTTTTCATTTTTCAGAAATCTCTCAATCAGAACATGGTATTGTGGCTTGTTGGGAGCGGCTAGTTACCTCCGATCATGCCTTAGGAACATGTGTTGATGAGGAAACTGTGTTATTTACATCTGTTATTGTTACGTGACTCTTAACTGTACCTGTTAATTTTACAGTGTAAATTTACTGGCAATTATTGTTCGATGGAAATAGATGTTTATACCATGAGTGAGTTCATGTGCTTGGCCATTAAGGTTCTGACGCATCATGTAATGCAGTGAGTATCTCACAAAAGGAGTCCTCCCTTCTTCTTTTTGGGGTGGAATAGCTACCTCAACCTCTACGTGGGCTTTTTATAGTAAAGACGCTTCACCCCACCACAGTATATTATTAATTTGGAAATTGTTTTGAGAGATTTCCTGTATACCACTAGAGGGAACTCAAGTACCACAGTTTAAGAACCACTGCTGTAAAGAAGGCCTGAAATTCATCCAAAATGATGTGAGTTTTAATTTCACATAGAGTTATTGCTGCTTAAGGTGCTTTTACAATGTACTGAATCACGTGGTAAATTAAATTTTTCTTAGGACTGCATAAAGTCCTGTGAAAAGGGTTTTTTGGCATGACTTAAAATAAATGTAATAGATACTAAATATACATCAGTAAAGCAAACTCACCCTCTTCCTCAGGTTGTAAGTAAGCACCAGGTTCCTGGCAAAGTGGTTTGCAAAGTTGGCGTAAAACTCCAGAACTTTTTGCAGCGCATCTCTTTTGATTATATGGAGGTCACAGTAGGTCAATGCTCGGACATTAGCACAGGACTGAGCCAGTGTCATCTCCTTCCAGAACACGTCACCAAACACATCACCTTTACCTGCAAAACAAACACAGTTAGGTCCGCAAATATTTCAACAGATACAACTTTTTTCTAATTTTGGTTCTGTACATTACAATGGATTTTAAGTGAAACAACTCAGATGCAGTTGAAGTGTCAACTTTTACCTTTAATTCAATGGGTTGAACAAAAGGATTGCATAAAACGTGAGGAGTATTTTTTAACACAATCCCTTCATTTCAGGAACTCAAAGGTAACTGGACAAATTAAATGACTAAAAAAATAAAATGTTCAATTCTGATACTTGGTTGAAAACCCTTTACTACCAATGAAAGCCTGACATCAGATTTCCTTCTTTTCCATGCTCTGCCAGACCTCTACTGTCGTGGCTTTCAGTTGCTGTTGGTTTGTCGGTCTTTCTTTCCAAATTTTAGTCCTGAAGTAAAATGAATGCACATTTGGGTAAAGATCAGGTGACCGACTTGGCCTTTCAAGAATATTGCACTTCTTTGCTTTAAGAAACTCCTGGGTGGCTGGGTTATGTTTTAGGTCATTGTCCTTCTGTATGAAAGGCCACCCAAACAATGTAAATGTATTTAGCTGGAATTGCTGTCCTGTGTCACATCATCAATAAACACGAGTGTCCCACTTCCACTGGTAGCCATGCATGCCCAAGCCTTACCCTGGCTCCACCTTGTTTTACAGATGATGTGGTATGCTTTAGATCATGAGCTGTTCCATGTCTCCATACTTTTTTCCTTTTGGTAGAAGTTGATCTTGATTTCATCTTTCCAAAGAATGTTTTTCCACAACTGTGCTGGCTTTTTTTTTTTTAAATTATGAGTGGCTTGCACTTTGCAGTGAACCCTCTGTTTTTACTTTGTTGGAGTCTTCTCTTTATGGTAGGTGGATATTGATATGCCTACCTCCTGGAGAGTGTTGTTCACTTGGTAAAGGGGTTTCTCGTCACCATGGAAATTATTCTGCAATCATGCACAACTGTTGTCTTCTGTGGACATTCAGGTCTTTTTGCATTCACCAATACCAAAGGGTAGATTTTGCCACTCCCACTATTGTAGCAAATTCTCAAATGTTACTCAAAGAGTATTATACAGACACTTGTATTAAGTTATAAAAAACATAAGTTTAGAGAACAATGTTTAGAACACAGATAAAAAACAAAACACATAAACTTAACATCAGTACCTGCTTATATAAATGCCTAAATGTGTGAGTCAACAGGAAGTTAATATTAATAACCAACGGCAATGACAACATGCTGCTTTCTAGTTTTCACAGTAAGAGACACATTAAAACGACATAACACTGAAATACAGTACAGGAAAATTTTTTTAAGGGAATTACCAGTTAAAATTTAGATTTTCTTTGCAGCACAATTCAACCAAAATAAAAACACTACATGTAAATGTACACAAAATAAATTTCCTTCATGAAACTAAATGAATTCTACCACAATTACTGATTTGATTTACAGCCAAAAGGGCCTGTAATTTGAACTCAGTGGTTCTTGTTAAATATTAATGTATAAAATGTGCTTGATTTTCTGTAGCTTTTAATAGTTTGTGTTTACACTGGAGTGAATGATGAAATAACTGCACCTTAATTACTTTAATACAGACAAGCGCACTGGAGTTCTTAGGTTCGATCTTTTTGGCCATATGTTGGCCAATTTCAGTCTTGTTTTCATTTAGGGTTTAACTGCCATGTAGACAGATAAACAGAGGCTGCAGTGTGACAGAGGCATCCCATTTCATCAGGAAGTAAATTTGGGTATCAATAGCATAACAATGAGAGGGAATATTATATTTCCTGAAAATTGTTCCCAAAGGCATCATGTGTAAAGATAACATAGCGGACCACAACAGACCCCTGTGGTACATCACAACTAATAGGGACAGAAGAAGAGGAGTACTCCCCAGTTGCAACAGAAAAAGACCTCTCTGACAGGTATGATTTAAACTGTGATAAAACTGTACCTTTAAAACCAACAGCATGTTTGTGTCTTGATAAAAGAATGTTATAATCAACTGTGTCAAAGGCAGCGGTTAGACTGAAACTCTCCACAAATCCCAGAAAGTTCTCACAAAGTGCAGAGGATGTTCACATGAACAGCACCACAGGGGTTAAATAAAAAATTCAAAATATTAAAAAGAACTCGGGGCTGGTAACTGTTGCTAGAAATTATGTTTGACAGAAAAGCTGATTTTATAGCTTTAACAGTCAAGTGATATTTGAGTATTGTATCAAAGGTCAGCTTAGAGTTATTGCTTTTGTTAATCAACGGCTTTCCAGAAGTCAAATCTAGTATCGAGCCTGAATTGGTGTTCCTCATTTCAAAATGCTCGGTTACATTGAGTGCCGGTTTAGATCACTGGGATGAGCTCTCAGCCATATGGCCATGTGACTGGGATCATACCTTTATGTGAAAGAAGGAAGGGGGCAGACATTTCAAACACAGCATTTATAGTTGTACAGGCCAGGTACACAGGAATACAGGGGAGTTGGATTTAAATGAAAAGTTAGGAAAAAAAATGAAAAACCAAGTGAAAATGTTAAATGAGAAGCATCTGGCTGCATCTCAAACATATTGGAGAACTGCAAAGCTGAGTGCAGAATTTATAGCATCAGGAGCTGGCTAAAGTGATGCCGGTTTTTATTTTGAAAACTAAAAGCTAACACTAACCTTGTTTCAGAGAATAAACATGGCTTACCCACAATTCCTTCATTGTCTTATCCTGAAATAAAGGATAAACAAAGATCTGATCCAACTATCAGAGAAGTCATAGCTCAGATTGTACTGGAAGAAACACCTCACCCCACCTCCAGCAAAGAGCTCCCCTGATTTCCCATTTTTGCTGTGGGAGTTAAATCGCTTAGAACTACACAACAAGGTAAAATACAGAAAAAGGCAAGATGCAGGACCAAGTGACCTATCAATTGGTTCTCCCTGAAGAGCTCAGAGCCTTAGTGGTTCACAATTTGCACATGGACCAACTGGGTATTCCCAGAACCCTTGTTAGACCTAGGTTTTATTGGCTGCTGAAGAAAGAGTCCTCTTGAAAAAGCAGCTGCTCTGGTAAACATTAAACTTCTCAACCATTAGAACTTGTCCATATGAACTTTCTCAATCTAGAACCAGACAGCAGTAACCCAAAGAACATCCTTGTAATGACAGACCATTTCACTAAAAATGCAGTTACCATGCCTGGACCCAACCAGAAAGTTAAGACTGTTGTTTGGGGGATAACTTTATTGTCCACTATGGTGCCACATAGTGATCAAGGGCCTGATTTCGAATTCACACTCACAGTATACACAAAATCTCAGGTCAACTTTAGAGAAAAGCTGCAATCTAGCTTCTTGAAATGCACAAAAAGCAGCAGATAAAAAAA